TAAACAAGCCTTGCTCTCCAGGGCAACGCCTTTCGAGGCAATACCTGTCCCTTTCTCTGTCCCGGATGGTCCCGCTAGGTTCTTGCTCAGATCGCGCTGACAGTCAAGGCTTTCGCCAGGAAGCTGTCTAGCAGTTCACTTTGCATTACGCCTAGCGCAGACGAACGTTCCACCCGGCTTCACCCTAATGCTTGACGTCCGCGACGTTCCTGCGCTTCCCAATGAGCTCCGCGCGGCGATGGTGACGTGGCTGCCGGTGATGTCTGCTGGCGTCGCTGCCGATGTCCTCTGCGCTGTTTCCTGTCTTGCGTGTCCTTGGGCAATCGCCGTTCCGGGACTTTCCGAACCCCTGGGCTTCTCCAGGACAACGCCTCTTTCCTTCCTGACTGGTAGCTTGGCGTTTCTGGCACTCGGGGTTTTGGGCAGTGCTGCTCGGGAACTTCGTCGGTAATCGCAGGGCTCTGCAGGCCAACGACTCTTGAAAACACAAATCGATCCACCGCTCGTCCTTCACGCCAGGACCTGCTTGGTCGGCCAAAGTAGGCTGGGTCGCAGACACCTTTCCTCCCCAAGCTGACGGTTCTTCGTCGGAGGACTCTTTTGCTTGTCTCTGACAGACCCGCCGGGCGACTCGCCAGGGTGTGGTCGTGACAAAGTTGGAACCCAAACGCCTCGACTTCTCCACTCTGGGTCCAAAGTCCATGAATCCAGTTTGATCCACTTGTCCTTTACGCACAGCTTCCAACCGAGGTTCTGCCCACTGCTGCCGTCCCGCTGGTTCCCGTGAAGCATGTGGCATGCCTGTGTGCCGCTCCGCTGCAGAGATGTGGCACTTCTTCTCCCGGTCCAAAGTTCACGGCAGAGTCCAAGGACCGGTGGAGTTCCGTTATCCCCTTTTGCACACGGCACTCCTGCTGTGCCCGCCAAATCTCCACTCTCATTTTCCGCACCTTAGTCTCCAAACTGTCTCATTCTCCATCCTTGGTCTCCAAACTCCCTTATTCTCCATCCTTGGTCTCCAAACTCTCTAATTCTCCCACATTGGTCTCCAAACTATCTTTTTATTCTCCAACCGCTCCTCGCCGCGCCGTTACTATCTGTTATCATCTGTTGCTGCTGTTGCTCAGATTTGTGGGGAGTTATTCAACTCCTACTACAATCATGCTTTTAAAATATTAAATTAAATGCATTAAAACATTTTAGGAACATTAGTAATAATTTAAAAAAAAAATGCTCATGAGGGAATAGATTATTGGCCAAAAATAATAATATTAAATATGCTTAGCATCTTGCAGAATCCCAAAAAGGGAAGAGTACACCCTCTTGGACCACGTGAACGACGTTTGACTTGCCTTTGTGCGACAAAAGAACAAAATTTACAAAGGGAAGTGCGCACAAAAAAAAATCAAACAACGAACCAGGAACCGTACCGCAGGAGAGCGATTCAGATGTAAGCTTATTGTGTTCCCAAATATAAAAAAGTAACAAAATTATGAAATTGGAATCCTGTTTAATGTATTCCCAAGGAATCCTTACATTTTTTGGGCTGGGTACAGCTTACAGGTGCATTTTAAATAAATGCGTACAGAATGTATTTTTTGGTGCATTCCTGAGTAGAGCAAACAGGCGCATTCTGGATACAGAATGCATTTATTTGGTGCATAAATGCGTACCAGAATGTGTTTAGTTGGTGCATACAGGCGCAATCCAAATATATCCATTGCAACGAACTTATTTTGTAAGTAAGATTATGTATGAGAAAACGCAGAATTTAAAGGCCTAACGTGAATTTATTCTGAATTAACTTATTACAGCGGGTAGGTGGCTAAGTTGGTCTCGGTGTCGTCACGCACTGCTGATGATGACGCATGTCTTGACTCGTCGACGCGTTGTCTTGGTGATCGCTTAGTCCATGTATCCTGTTTGACCCCTTTGTCCTCGACCAACGGCTTCCATCTGGAGTCTTGGCGCTGTCATGCTGATCCTCTTGTGGCATGTGGCACGCGTGTTCAATACTCTATTTCTCCAACTTCTCGTTCTCCAAACTCTCGTTCTTCATTCTCTCTTTCTACAAACTCTCATCTTCTTACTTTTCACTCCAAATTCTCCTTCACTATGCCATTACTACGCGATAATTCGCGACGTATCTGGTAGCCGGCAGGCCACCACGTATAATTGCCGCTGCAATTTGTGGGGAGTTATTCAACTCCTCACAGCATGTAGGTGCATGAAACAGATACCTTCTTTTTTATCTCGCACCCGTGCACTATTGAAAATTTCTAAATTTTGCCTGGCCATAACCCATTTTCTGAAAGTCGGAAATTTGAAACATATCTTAGAGCAACGCATTCACAATAGATTAATCTCTAGTGTTGCATAACAATAATCTTTACAAATGGCGCCACAACAAAAGCATCAGCTGATAAACACAGCTGTTGCTTTTGCAAAGCACATCCGCCTGCAATATTAGGTTTTGTTTGCAAACTTGAAAAGGTCTAAACTGGAAAACTGAACAATATTTTATATTGTGTTTGTAAACGTTCCCTGTAGAAAAATCTCATTGTGTAGCCTTAATAGAGCAAAAATGTAAGTAGCCTTGCAAATTTTTAGGATGCAACGGAAAAAGATGCCAAGGAGAATGCTGCCTTATCAGAAGTTGAGTTTAAATAGCACCGCGATATTGTAGACCAAGCAAGTAAAAAAATTTTGTACCGCTTGACGAAAATGTGGGAGGGTTCTTACGGTAATTTAAGGCAGTTGCACAGGAAGCATACAGCTTGTCTGGATTCCAAAACTGTTATCACTTTACCGGGAACCAAGAAGCCAGTAAGTCGGCCAACACTGCATTATAAAACAAGGAAGAACGCTATAGTCGAGTACCTCGACTATCAGATACCCGTTACTCAGCTAAGTCAAGGACCAAAAGGAAATGGAGATATGCAAGCAGCAAAGCGAGATTAAAAAGCGCCACTTACCGGCGGTAGACAGATTTACGCGTTATGGGCGTTAGAGTAGGCGTGGCAAAATTTTTTTTTAATCAATCGATAGGTATTGATACATTTCAGTTAAAATTTTTATTCTATCATCAAATCTGTAGGAGCCAGTTTTGGGCGGTTTGGGGGCGTAAAAGTGGGCGTGGCAAACTTTTTTTTTAATCAATCGATAGGTATTGACGAGACCAATACATTTCAGTTAAAATTTTTATCTAGCATGAAAACTGTAGGCGCAAGAGTGGGCGTGGCACATTGCTGAAACAAACTTGCGCTGCGTAAGAAGCTCAGGAACCTGCACGCCAAATCTCAATAGCCTAGCTCTTATATTTTTCGAGACCTCAGCGTTCATCTGGACAGACAGACAGACGGACATGGCTAGATCGACTCGGCTAGGCTCAGGATCAAGAATATTTATACTTTATGGGGTCGGAAACGCTTCCTTCTGCCTGTTACATACTTTCCGATGAATCTAGTATACCCTTTTACTCTACGAGTAACGGGTATAATCACAAAATGTTAGTATGCTTATTTATGCAGCAAAAGCGATCAAAAAGACCGAAGCTTTGTCCTTTAATGAGGCATTAGCTCGTCTTCTGGACCACAATTTTACAAAAGAGCAACACTTTTCTATTTTATATCATCCATTATACAAGACGGTAGCTGACCACAAAAATGTGCCGACCTGTTTATTTTTCAGTTAGTAATAACAAAGTTGAAGTACCGTTGCGGAGTCTTATAGTCCACGCAGCAAGACGGCTCGTTGATTTGCAAGTTGACGTGGTCGAGAACATTATGCAAGATCAAGGTACTGAGATCTTATCGGACTGATTTTAAGCTACGGCTTTGATAAAAGCTTTGGGAATTCCAATTACAACCAGAAGTACTTCGGCTAAAATTCATTTGCTACAACAGTCACACCTTTTCGGCTTATAGATGCTTCGAAAATTGTATTACGCAATAACCGCAATCCGATTTTGTAGGCCATTAAAGCTGGAATGTGTCGAAGAAAGCAAGGAGTGCTGTTTAAGGGAAGTCGAAAACGAAAAGAACCAAATATCTAAATTGATGCCTTGCTAAATTATCTTAAAAAGTGAGAAGTTTGTTTATATAAAGATTAACCTATATTTAACGGTAATTGATGGCAAGGTATTAAATGCGATGACGGGCACCAACACAAGCTTGTCAAATTTGTGGAGCCACACTATCTCATTTTCACGATTTTACCCATAGTCAGCCATTTAAAATAAGGACTAAGCCCCTTCACAGCGGAATAAGAGTCTTCGAATTCATTTTGCACCCAGGGTATAATAATTAAGTGATGTGGAGCATTTTTCAGGAAAATGCTTAAAAACAAGGAAGAATGATATAGTCGAGTACCTCGACTATCAGATACCCCTTACTCTGCTAAAGGGAGCAAAGAGAAATGGAGATATGCAAGCAGCAAAGCGAGATTGAAATGGGCCACCTACCAGTGATCTCAATATATGGTTATGTGGGCGGTAGACAGATTGAAGAGTTATAGGCGTTAGAGTGGGCGTGGCAAACTTTTTGTTGGATCAATCTATAGGTATTGACGAGACCAATACATTTCAGTTTGGGCGGTTTGTGGGCGTTAGAGTGTGCGAGGCATATTCGCATACAAAACTTGCGCTGCGTACAAGGCTACAAATCTAAATCTGAAATCCCAAATTTATATCCTTTATAGTTTCAGAGGTATCCGCGTTCATATATAGGATTTTTTAAATTTTGTGGGCGGCTTGTGGCCGTTAAAGTGCGTGTGGCAATCTTTTTATACAGTATTTATTTATAGTATCTATATAATATGTTTTAGTATTACATTTAGCATAGTTAGGAAAATATTTCGTAGAATATCTAAAATTTGTTAATACAGTAAATAACAAAATTTATAAACACAGTTTTCGCTTACATACCTTACGCACCGTCTCTCTAAAATTGGTAATTTGAAAAAAATCGATGTTTCTTAAAAATTTTAAAACAAACAAAAAATACCGCATTCAGCCAACTTATTTATTAATGTTTATAAACCATTTTTGGACTAGTTCTTTATGTTACTTATTCTCTTATTGCATGGCAGCCATCCTACTCCGGGCCGAAGTTCCGCACATACTTTTCGTAGGGCCGTTTGTCCAGCCGTTGCAAGCGCGCCTGCAGGAATTCGCGGAACTTGCGCATTACGTTGGCGTCGGCCCTGATTAGGTTATTCTCCTCGTCTGTAATCTCGCCCAGCAGGACATCACTGTCAGCAGCCGTCCGCCGACTTACCGACCGTTCCAGACGTGTGCTGATTTGGTTAATAATCTTCTCGCTTTCGTAGTCCATTATTTTGGCCAGAGCCTTGGCCGGCGTGCGTCGTGGATTACGGGAATCTGGGACATGGTTGGCGCCCAGATCAGCCTCCTCCGGTTTCCGCTCTACTTGCACATTCGGCTTTTCGTGCAATAATTCAATCTGCTCGATAAAATCCGTCAGCGAGGGTTCGTCGGTATGCGGTTCGCAATGCGTCGAGTTGTTTTGAAAGTTTGTAAGATGGAAGGTACCGTTGGTGTCGTAGAACTTGTAGCCCAGCATCTCCACTGCTATTTCCGTGAGTAAATACGACATTTAGCGGGATTCAATGAAAATGGCTTAATACTGAGCGCAAAGCAAAAGAACAATTGGCGATAGCAAAACAAATTTCTCCCAAAAATGGATCTTCGTTAAATAAGCGTCGATGAATTAGCTACAAAAGTGGAATGGTGGAATTCGGAACGTGGTGCTTTTTAACATTGCAGAGGGTATAATGATTTCATAGTTTCAAAGAAGATGGTTTGAAAGAAACGTTTCCGACACCATCAAGTATGTAAGTACATAAATTCGTGACTGGCATTATGTACATATGTACATACGTCTGTCCGTTTCTAGCTTTAGTGTTTTTGATGTACTATCTTCTAGTTAGCGGGGGATCCAGAATACGGTTGTGGGGAATATAAAAAAAAATACACATTAATGTGTGTGTGAATGGGGGAATCTATTCCCTATATCGCCCTGTGGATTCGCGCATGCTCTACCCTTATTCGAAAGATAATATAAACTACAAGATGCGTAAAAACCATAGGGGAGAGTGGGGTAAGGATAGTAAGAAAAGATTGGTTGGACATAGCAGCTATAAATAAAAAGTCATGGAATTGTTGCAAAATGTCGAAATACTTTTTTAGATGTTCTTGCCCCAGTATTGTGTTAAAAATAGTTATTAATGTACTTCCATGTACAATATACCATATACAGGGTATCCGGCTTAAAAAATATTTTTTAATTGGATTGGACTTTTTGGACACCAATCATTTTATGAAAAATGGAAAAGATCTTGTGATTTTTTATTTAAAATCTTTTTTCATGGTATCAAATTGCTTTTTGCCGCAAATTTGTTAATTAATTAAGTTTATTAAAAGTGGCGCGCATTTTATGCGAGACGTTTAGCAGCTTAAGCATAGTACTCAGATCGGCTAATAGTTTCACTAGTCGAAAAATCGTATTCATTGTAGTGTGACCGAAGTTCACCCGCAATGCATGTAGCACGGTCTTACTGTCAAGCAGCTGGGTTTGTTGCCAAACGAAAAACAAATCAATTGGAGAAATGTAAAAAGGAGGAGTCTGCTGGTACGCAAAGAATTTAAAATAAAAAAATAATATAATAAATGGAATGTTCAACGAATGTTTTTATTTATGTAAATAAGTAATTTAAAGCTAACTTCTCGTCCCACTGATGGTTCGCCATTTTTCTTCGAGTCCCAATAGCCATATTGAACCTTGAGGAAGTGGGAGCCGGATTGGGTACGGGGTTGATCCGCTGATGCTGCAGGAAGTAACCTAGCATCCTGGAAGTGGCTGGCTATGTCTTCTCCAACTGTTCCTTAGCGGGCGCCCTATTTTCCTCCTCCCTATAGAAGCCAGCGGGTATCTCGGAAACTATCAAAGATAGAGAATTGGGATTTCAGACTTAGAATCTAAGTCGTAGATTCCGTAGCCTTGTACGCAGCGCAAGTTTGTTACGCGAATAGGCCACGCCCACTGAGCGTGGCTCCCAGTTATGGGGGAATGCCAGCTATAGCAATATTGAACAATCATCGTGGCACCGTAACGAAAACATACGCAGGACAGAAGGAAAAGTACTTTACCAAGCTATATTTGCACCCTAACCACCTGGTGAGAGGTCTAACAAGGTTGAGCAACCCATCACTTCTCCGTCACAACGACTTACCCTGTAACGTGCAACCTTATGTAGCACAGTATTGAACACAGAGCTGTCCTCGCGGGGCACGTTATAGTATCCCGCTCTAGCTTGTCGGCTTTGGGGGTGGAGGTCTTGCTAATCCAGATCTGGTACTTGTCTATTATTAACAATAAAGAAATTGAGCGTGCTTGCGACGACATACGAAATTAGATCGTAGACGATGGGGAGAAACCAGGAGAATGTAAGTTATTTGCAGTAGAGAGATACATTCAACTAAGAGAAGGAAAAAGAAAAATTCGGTAAACGAGACGCCGATGTTGTTACGCCTGTGGCCCGCCCTACCTAAGATCACTGGATCCAATTGTTGATTCGCGTGATTCCTTTCGATACCCTTACGACCGCATCATCACCTGCAGAGTCTCAGAGAAATAATTACACCATGGTTTCGTTTAAATCCATTTTAATAATCAAAATTAATCCTTTTGACATTGGGAAAAGACATAAGTGAAATACAATTACAAGTGTCACCAGCCGAAGGGAATAAGAAGAGGCTATGTATACTATCGATGTCTAATGACCCAAAATAAATCCAATAGTTTGTTCTCCATAAACAGATATAATCACTAAACCGGATAGTATGAGGTAATCATAAATTATAATAAGGGGTCTTAATAAATATAAAATATAGAGAAACTTCATTGATGATTCCATAGATAAGTTTTACATAATGTTTTAAAAAAGCTCTTACTCTACAAAGGAAATATCTTCCATTATTTGGTTCTAAATGTTCTTATTTTCTCTCAGTGTATTCACAGCTTAATTTTATTTTTCTTACTATGTAACGAACTGATTTTGTGTGTCTGCTCGCTACGAGATTCGTGCGGCTAGCTCAGAAGATTGTGCGTTCGTCCTGCCAAATTTATATGAAGTAGATCAGTGAGAAAACAAAGGGTTCAAATGGTAACAGTGGGATTTATTCTCGTGGTATTAGTACAGCGGGTGTGTGGCTGGGCTGGCTTCGGTATCTTCTGGCTCTGGTTCCGCCGGCTGCTGGCGCTCCTCTTTCTGGCTCCTCGACGCGTTGACTCATCCTCCTCTGGATCCTGGGTCTCGGGACGCTCGTAGTGGCCGCCTCTGCTTGCTTGCTGACGCGCTGCCTCGGGGTCGATTGTTGCGCTTTAGACCCGCCGAGAGTTCGGCCTTGTGGGCTTAGGGAAGCGTCACCGGTCTCAGACTAGGGTGAACAAGCCTTGCTCTCCAGGCCGACGCCTTTCGTGGCAATACCTGTCCCTTGCTCTGTCCCGGACGGTCCCGCTAGGTTCTTGCTCAGTTCGCGCTGACAGTCAAGGCTGCCGCCAGGAAGCTGTCTAGCGGTTCACTTCGCTTTACGCCTTGCGCAGACGAACATCCACCCGGCTTCACCGTAATGCGTGACGTCTGCGACGCTCCTGCGCTCCCCAATGAGCTCCGCGCGGCGATGGTAACGTGGCTGCCGGAAATGTCTGCTGGTGTCGCTGTCGATGTCCTCTGCGCTGTCTTCTGACCGGTATCTCGTCTTTCTGACACTCGGGAAGTTGGGCGATTGCTGTTCGGGAACTTCGCCGGTGATCGCAGGGCTCTCCAGGCGGCCGCCTCTTGAAACCACAAATCGATCTACCACTCGTCCGTCACGCCAGGTCCTGCTTGGTCGGGCAAAGTACGCTGTGTCGCAGACACCTTTCCTCCCCAAGCTGACGGTTCTTCGTCGGAGGACTCTTTTGCTTGTCTCTGACAGACCCGCCGGGCGACTCGCCAGGGTGTGGTCGTGACAAAGTTGGAAAACAAACGCCTTGACTTAGCCGCGTGATGCCTTCCAGAACTCAGCCACCCGTGTCTCAATTGGGAGATTCCTGATGTCTCAATCCCGAACGTCTCGACGTGGCGATCCGGTGGAGTCCGGTGGAGTTCCGTTATCCTGTTTTTGCACACGGCACACTTGCCTTGCCCGCGCAGTCTCCATTCTCTCTCTCGCTTGGTCTCCAAACTCTCTCGCTCTCCGTCCTTGGTCTCCAAACTCTCTCGATCTCCATCCTTGGTCTCCAAACTCTCTCGCTCTCCATCCTTGGTCTCCAAACTCTCTTCGCCGCGCCGTTACTACGCGAATTCGCCGCGTAACTGGTAAGCGGCCGGCCATCTGCTGCTGCTTCTATTTGTGGGGAGTTATTCAACTCCTCACATTCCCCCCTTACTTCGGGAAACATTTATAACTTGTTTTTACTCTCCGGCGTTTCCTTGCATGTCCTAGCCTTCGAGTCCTTGTGATTCCCGCGGCGCTCCCTCGTTGCTCCCTCGTTGCTCCCTTGTTGCTCCCTCGATGCTCCCTCGACGCTCTTAACTCCCTTGAGTTTCTACAGCGCTGGTCATCCTCCTCGTAGCAACTTTAAATCTCCCGCGCCGATATTTCCCGTGTTTCCACTGAGACATCGATACTCATGGGCCATCGATCCCCGGCTCGCTGCTCGTTGCTGCGTCTCACTCCTTTCAATGTTTCCTCCGCCTGGTCACACCATTCGTGCGTGATCGATGTTTATTCGCATATCGATACCGACGGTGCGGCGTTGCCACCTGCTCGTTGCGATATTTCCACCTTGGCCGATTTTTCCATTTTCTTATGCCCATCGATCGCACTATCGTCCAGTGCCAATCGATCGCCTATCGAGGTGCCCCCTTCCCTGGCTCGTGGTGATTTTGCAACTTTCATTGGTAAGTTTCTTTTGCATTTCCTTCACTCCTTTTCATCTCATCCTTTCGTCCTCTCTCGCCCTTCACTCGTCCTCTGTTGGCAGGATCTGACTCCATATTGGCAGCTTTCGAGAGCGGGTGCGGAGAGGACATCGCATTCACTTTGCAACCAGGACAGCAGGTAAGTGTTATGATGTCCGTTTCTGCTTCCTGCATTAAGCCCCCTTTAAATTTCAGGTTGCTGGTGCGGCCCATACATGCCCCGTTCTCCTTCTTGTTTTTAGTTAACTGTTGGTGTGGTGCGTGTTTCTGTCTTTTGTGACCAGCTGGCTACGGTGTAGATCTGATTCTGCACCGTCCTCCCCTTTTCCTCGGGTAACAACTAGACGAGCTCGTCAGGCGCATTCCGTATAGAATCTTCGGATGCTGCGGTGTATGTCTGCACTGCGCGACTTGTGTTGCTTGTCTCCTTCCGCGCATACTCTTTTCTACGTTACCCGTATCCTTGTGCGGATGACTCTGGCAACTGCCCGACGCTGAATCCTGTTGCCTTGCGGTCGGGATCACCATCCATCCCTATCCACGTCCTTGTGCCCTACCCTTATAGTTCACATTTCTGCGTGGCGTGTGGATGACTCTCGCTTCGGCCTGACGCCTAATCCTGTGGCCTCGCAGTCTGGATCAACGTGTGATCCTTATCCATGTCCTTGTTCTATCCTGATTGTCCTTTCCGTGTGGCGTATGGATGACTCTCGCTTCTTTCTTCGACTGTGTGTGGCGAATTTTGCAGTTCACTGGAGAG